TCAGGCCCGCCACGTATTTGGTTCATTATGAACTATCTATCAGGCAATACCAGCTTTCCAATGCACTCAATATCGAGTAGTTTGAGCCAGAATTGACGAAGTTATGGGGTATTGTAGTAATCAAAATTTTCTCTCAGCATATGATCAGCCAAATTCCAGCATCTGTTACAGGTGGTAATCTGGTGATTATGAGGGTTTATTGTCAGTACACTCACCAATATGAACCCCAAAAATACGGAAAAATATGCCAGATTGGAGATCTCAAACCAAGGAACAGAATGCATATTTTTTCACATTTTTTGCTCTGTTTCTGACCTTTCCAGATTTTTGTATACAAATAATTTAATTTTCTGCCCAGAAAATGTTATGTTTCTTGTAGTGTCAGTTGTACCAGGTGAAAAGATTTGGGCTCTGGCCTGAATAAAAACGATTCAATAAATTCAATGATCACGTTCTATGATTGTAAATATTTTGAAAAAAGCCATCGAACTGATCTTTTGATATGATCAATCATGAAAGATACCTTGTTAACTTGAATCTAGTTGGATGTTGATTGATTGAGAACCTAATGAACGCAGGAGATGAGTGATATCATCAAATACCAAAGGTGTTGTTTTTTCCCAAAGACATGAATTTGCTTCAGCTTTGGTCAGTAGACTTGATTGAATTGGTTCTTAAGATGCTCATTGCTAGTAAGAAACGTTCTAGTTTGATTAATCTTAGATTTGAGATGAATTGAGGCTTAAACAAAAGTAATCGCATCTAGAATGGTTGGTTTCAAGGTATGATGAAGTCAAAGCTCCGAGAACTCGAGCGGTGACCTCATTCCAAGTAATTTGAGCATCAGGCTTCAGGTAAACTTGGTCAGCTTCATTGAGCAACCCAATATCGACCAAAGTTTTAATGAAAGCTGGGAATCCTTGATATCTCATCGTTCCACAAACAACAGTCTCGGTTTCAGGAATAGCATAGAAATATATGAATGGTGTTGAGTCTCGATTTGGATAAGGCACGAAAGCAAACGCCGGTGAAATGAAGTATGGGTTGGCGTAGTTTATCAAGTCTTGACCTGCGACCTTGATGAGTTTACCCTTAGAATAAAGCTTAGCAGAGTCTAAGAGAGCTAAGAGGACTCCTCTTGATTACCAGGAGAACTTGTATCCTAATGGGTTGTTCGAGCTCTCAGGAGCAGGTAGACCACCGCAGTAAGAGATGAAGCCGGTGACTTCGCCACCCTCTTGATGAACTTCATCAATCCTCTTGATGGTGTACAAGTTATTGATTCCGGGGTCAAGTCCAATCTCGTTGAGTACTGTGATGCCAGCTTGCTGAGCCTCCTGATCTAAGGCTCTCATTGCCGGGCTGACGTAGCTTGTTGTGACAAAGTTCTTCTTGTATTTGATTGCGCTCTTGATGACACTTGCATGATGTATATATGGAATCAAAGAGATGATCAAGTCGTGCTCCAACACCGCTCGGTCTAACGCAGCAGTATCTGTGATGTCAAGCGAGATGTAATTGGCGTCTCTAACTAATCCTTCCACAAGAAAGAAACTTGGCAGTGGCCAATGTATGGCAAGCAATCGTTGATTCGTTGTCAGATCGGCGAAGGATGTAATCTGCAGCGGGTTCAGCAACAAAGCCAGACCCAAGGAGGAGAATTTTCTTTTTTGTGGGTGTGTAGACGGCAGGAACTGTGCTCTGATGGCAGGAGCAGCTTCCCCAGCTTTCGCAGCAGTGATGGTAGCACGGGCGAACTCGGGTAAAACAAAAGCAGCCTCATCTACGCGCTTGTTGTAGTATCGAGTGTTGCGGACCTGTCGGAGTGGCTTCTTTAAGTTTCGGTCTTTGTCCAGAGAGCACACGACGAAGCCGATGGTTCCACTGGGGTAGGTCGAAATTGAAGTGTAAGCGTAGTCGACTTGTGGGAAGAGGTCCTTTGGTCCTTTGATCAACGAGTGGATGAGAGGTAAGGGCAACCAGATGCACTCTCCCTGGGTTGAAATCGAACCGTTTGGTCTCAAGGCATTTTTCATAAATTGGAAATACGGCGTTCCAAACAATGTTTGTGCTGGACCTTCGTTTGGATCGGAACTATCAGTGATGATGACATCAAATTTTCCGACTTGATCTCTCAAGGCCTGGAAGCCATCTCTGATGAAGAGGGTCACACGAGGATCGGGGGAAATGCTTCATCGATATCACATAGCACAGCGGTTTTGACAGACAGGATACTTCAAAACTTCTCGTAATACACCACCGTCTCCACCACCAATGAACAAGAAATGCTCCGGGTTCGGATGAGAATTAAGGGGTATATGCGCAATCATTTCCTGATAACTAAACTCGTCGATCTCCACACATTGGATTGCGCCATCAAGCACCGGAACGTTTCCATGGGCCACCGACTCGAAGAGAAGGACGTCTTGGAACTTACTCTTGTCCACATGAAGAACTTTCTTCACTTGTAAAGACGTAGCTTGTCCAGGCCATAGAGGAATTTCTTCCTTGAACCAGCCATCTTGGACAGAAGGGTGAGTTAATCCTGAAATTTTCCTAGAACAACTAAATGAAGATTGAAAGGTGAAAAATCAGGGTCAAAGTAGCTCAAGTGATACTGGTATTGCTTTGAGTCTTCATATAAGAGTCGTGCTTCTAGACTCTGAGATTGTTTTGCTGCAGAGTTGATTTCCACGATAAGCAAATCCGAAGGATGTCAAGTTGAATAAAAAGTCTCAGGTTGATAATCGAAAGTTGAAGCTTCAAATTTGATAATCGAGCTTTTTCATAATCATCATGCTCGGAGTGTAGCTGAGTTGGTAAGTCGTATCAATACGATGAACATTGGGTCATTCACCCGCTTTTTCATCGCGGATATGACCTCCAAAGCAATACGGCTTCGGTTTTCAAATGATATCTCCGTTGAGTTATCCAAATTGTTTTGCACGTTTTAGCTGTAGACTTTATGTACTTCAATGAGAACAGTGCAACTGACCTAACAATATTGATATACAATCTAATGAAATTGAGAGTGGTCATTGTTTGCTGATTGTGAGCGGTGACAATGGGCCAGAAAGTTCCCTTCGACTTGAATGATTGAAATATTGGCATAGTTTTTTGAATGTGGAAGGGTGGCCAACTCGGAGGACTGGAAGATGGTTTCAAAGAGCAGAAAGATGAATATAGGAAGTCTGCGAGATGACACCTCGCTAGTCGATCTGTAGGTTGGAGTGGCAGAAAATGATGGGGAATGAGGTGTGGTGAAAAACCAAAAATTTCACAGATGACAAGATTTATAAGTCATTTTTTTGCTCAACGGCCATAGACAAAAAAAATTGGCCTCATCGAATTAAGTGCGCCACCAAATGTGATGGCAAAGAGAAGGTGAGGAAGTTGAACAGCTGGCAAAATAACGGACTTGCAGAAGAGATTGATGATGGATGTTTCACCATGTCTGAAGAAAACAATGACACATTCCAGCACGCACACTGATGCTGTCTGGCTACGCTGGTCGTTGCGTTCTATGAGCACCAAATACATGTCATTTCAATGTGAGGTAGCGACAACCCTCTACAGAAGTTGGCTCTACAGGGTAGCCTAGGTTGACCAAATAGTGTGATCATATCCGACCACACTTGTTTCTGACATTGCCAATCAAGGGGGTAGATGGTCTTGGTAGATGGTCTTGGTACACCGTAAGGAGTTTTGCGTGAGCCAAAAGGCTCCAACAATCGTTTCAGCTCGGCGAGCTAATAGGAAAGGGATCGTGCCATAAATTTCGTAGTCAAAGACGTCCAAGTTCCACAGACGATATGGATTGGTGTAGGCCTCCTTGTCTGCAAAGTATGTTCTGAATGTAGTCCTCAGGGAGAGTGGGGAAGCATATTCTTGAATGCCACATATATGTAATCACGTCGGGTCCCTTCTTCAGCCATATAAAATGCTGGCTCTGTAAACCTGCAGGGTAATCACCAAGTAAGAGATTCGGCAGATTGAGCTCGAGTGGCTAGGGTTAAAAGCATGATTGATCACATATTTTGAATTCGCCGCGCCTCACTAAGAGAGCTGGGAGGATGATCGAGCATAGGTAAGTAACTATGAGGCGAGTCCGATGTTTCAAGATGTGGTGGTTTTGGACGCCGGGAGGGATTTTGTCGAGTTTTGGGTGAATCAGATTTGGGTATGACTGTATGATGATGATGATTCATGATGATTCCAGGGAGCACAATGATGGGCGGGAGTCAAGATGGTATGTAGGTCCAGGGGCAGACTCGAGGGTGGTTGATGATTGTGGCAGGCTTTCTGCAATCATACATAATGATGTCAATTGCTTTGGAGTCTGGACGGGGACCTAAGGTTAGATATGTAGTTTTGGCCGAGACAATGGAGGACTTAAGGGTTTAATCCAGTTTTGCCGAGAAACACGGTTGAGCCTTTAGTTTTATGATATACATATACAAAACATGAAAAAAAAAGAAATACTACAAGAAAGATTCAAAGAAGACACAAAACGATTTCAGTACATACCTAAATCAGAGACTAGAATCGAAATTACAAGGGAAGGTGTTGACTTTTAGGGTGCACACCTACATTGAGCAAAGAGTATTTTATCAGTATAATGTGATAGTCAATCAGATATATAGAAGAATAGAAACCTACTTAAAAAAAAAGAGATCAAAATCGAAACCTAAAAGATTGAAGCTCAGAGAAAGTGGAGAAAGAAGGATATTGATGATATCAGTTTGAATTATGCAACAGAAATAAAGTAAAAAAAAAAGACTTAAAAGAAAGATCAGAGCTCAAGATCGGATTTGAATTGAAGATTGGTTCAAGGGTGTGGCTTGAGAGAGGTGGAGATCGAAATTGAGTGGGTGTAGTGGAAGATAGGTAGATTGGTGTGAAAGTCTTGAAGGTTGCAATCAAAAGAAAGGAGGTGGAGATCGAAATTAAGACATAAGAGATTGAGGTGATTGAGGTAGAAGAGTCCAACGGAAGTTTTTTGTTTCAATTGATTGATCAGGAACCTAGATTCAAACCAAGAAGGAATCAAAATTAAAACAAAGAAGATGAAGTCAGCAAACAAGAACAAACAAAAGGAATCAAAACCTTACTTACATGAAGACTTCAAAATCGAAAATGAAATGAATCTAATGAACAGTCAAAATCGAATTTATTGAATCTAAGATCTAATCAAGAAGGATGAAAAGAATATAGATTGAAAGTTAGTACAGTGAGAAAGTGGAGAAATAGATAAAAGGAAAGCAAACTACTTACTTAAATCAAAGATCAGAATCGAATTTGAAACAGAGTATAAAATCGATTTTGAGGTCTGAAGGTGATACTAGGTGAGAACTTGAAGCAGAATCGAAGCCAGGATAAGATTGAGGGTGGTAGGAAGAAGGTTGAGGTGATCAAGGGATAAAGTCGAAATTTAAATCTATCGGACCGAGCTGAAATTGAATCTGAAAGGTGTAGAAGTGAAAGGAATCAAATTTAAACAAAGGAGTCAGTAAATAAGAACAAACAACAAAAGAACTTAGAACTTACTTACATCAAAGATCAGAATTGAGATTAAAATACAAATAGAAATTCGATTTTGAGGTCCAATGTTGAAACTAAAGAAAACAGAAAGACGATTAAGTTAGTATTCAAGAATGAACGAGAGAATGAATAATAAGAAGAGACAAAGAAACGAAAGAACTTACTTACATGAAAGTCCAAGATCGAAATTGAGGATAGTGAAGAATGAGATAGTGGAGATTAATTAAAAAAGAAATTAAAAAACCTTACCGTTGTCGTGATTTGAACAGAGAGGTCCGATCGGAGATGAAGTCAAAATTGGAAAGGAGGGAGGGATCGAGAAGTTTTCATGGGAAGCATCTATTGGTTATCGGTCTCGTTTCTTTGTCTTGTTCTGTGCTCGGTAG